AGGGGTCTTGGAGATGTCTCATCTACAGGGGTGCCATGAGTTGGGATCAATTCAAAGATGGTTAACAGCAACAGATCTTTGCAGTGCAGTGCTGGGATGAAAGTAGTAAATATCTTTCTAAAAGCCAAGACAAAGAAATAGATGTGATCAGGAAAAGTTAATGCCTTCACTGGTGTTACTTTGAGTCTTGAAAACAGAGACTCTAGTATATGACCAACAATATTTCTTCACATCCTTACAGATATCAGGTAAATAGCATCCTGGAACCAGGATTATCATTGCCAGTTCCAAGTGAAATGGCTAGCCAGGTTTCTGCAAGGATGAAGACTAATGCATAAATACATTTCTGTGCTAATCATGGAGTCCCACTTTGCCCACATTCTTAATTTAAACAACAGTCATTCAAGTGAAACTCCATGAGCAATCTCAAAGTGCAGCAATGCCATCTGGATTGTGCTTTTGGCAGTGTATAACAGCAGTTCTCAAACTCAGGTCCCCAGATGTTGTTGGACTACAGCACCTACAATCTCCATCTGTTGGCCATGCTGGCTAGAGCTTCTAGGTGCTGAAATCTAACAACACCTGAGGTCCAAGTCTTGGGAATCACTGATGAAGGAGGCAACGTCTGGTATAATCTCTGAATAACAATGAAGTAGCAGTTTGCATTTATTTGCCTTTATAGCCAAGATGCAGTGGCTCAAATGGTTAAGACACTGGCTCTGTTGATTGCAAAATCAGCAGGTTGGCAGTTCGAGGCCTGGGTGCTGCATGATGGGCTGTCACTAGTCCCAGCTTCTGCCAACCTAGCAGTTTGAAAGCATGCAAAAGCAAGTAGATAAATAGGTACCACTTTAGTGGGAAGGCAAACAGCGTTCTGTGCAATCATGCTGGCCACATGATCACAGAGTAGTCTCTGACAACACTGGCTCTTCGGCTTAGTAATGGAGATGAGCACCTCCCCCTATGGTTGGACACTACTTGACAACCTTGTCAACAGGGAATATCTTTACCTTTACTATAGCCAAGATGCCTGAATCTACTTTCTTTTTCATCAAGGGTTTGTACTTTTGGGTAAATCATGTTAGATTCATAATGAAACAAATACCAGACTCTAATAAAAAAATGACAGCCTCAGGTTGAAATCTCTCCTCCTACACTGTATAGACAATGCTACCAACATCCTAATGTCATCACACTGTACACACTTCACCCCTGCTCCCCACAGTGGCAGCCAATAATGTGGAGCAAAACAACACACAATAGGATGTCAGGATAAATGCAAGGTCCACATGAGGCTTTTTTCTCCTTTTTATAATATACTTATTCTGGATGCACATGATACAGCAGCTAATTCATTGCATTCCTGGGATGTCCATGTTTTTATTCCATTGTTTTTGTGATTTGTGACTGTTTCATTATCTCCTCCTGCTGTGTGATCATTTCCACCATGAAAAAGTGACTTGCTATTGCTATCCCTTAATCCAGGAAGTGGTTTATCCTGCAGAACAAGACTGGCAAACTTTCTACCTCACGTTCTAGCAGAAATGCCTATCAGTTTCCAGTATGTCTTCTCATTTCATTTCCACAGCTTCTAATGTCTCACTTTTAATAACCTTTCCACTTTATTTTTGGCAAACTGGTTTTCCTTTCGAATTTTGATTTCTTGGCTTAATTTGTTGTTTAGAATGTTGACAGGGAGGTGTATTTCAAGTGCACACCTACACAGCTATATAAAATAACACATACTAATTTGAATTCTTCTTCTTCTCCTTCTGCTCCTTTGCCTTCTCCTCCTCTTCCTTCTATTATTATTATTATTATTATTATTATTATTATTATTCAGGCAAAGACCTGTGGAAATGAGTTTATCTTCTTATTCTCATGCTTTCTGTGGTATTTGCCACAAGAACTGGCACTAGTTATGGGTGAGATGTCTCGAGATTGCACTTTTGAGGGTGGGAAAGCACAGCAAGTACATCAACCTCAAACCTCCTTATATGTCACACTGAAACTACCACTAAAATGTACTGATCATGTTGCTAGACATCCAGGTCCCTGACTTCACATGAGACCAGCTTGAGTGGAAGAAATCGGGGAAGGGTGTCAAGAGGAGTATGACTGAGGAGGGCCCATGTGACCTCACCACTCTCTTGAACACTCAGCAAAATAAGAGGTACATGATATCTAGGGCAGATATGGTATGATATGGATGTATGTGTAGAAAAAAGTGGCAATCCCCCTTTCTTTAAAAAGAGAGATGAAGATAGAGAGTGAACAAACACTAGACGTTATCACACTGGCCCTAAAGCAGAAAGAATTCAGCATCATTTC